TACAATAGGAAAACTGATCTCCTGGGAAGGAAACTCCCTCCTCTTCCAGGCTGTAGGCCAGAAATGAGTTAACTCATTGGTTCCCCTAACTAAAGTGTAATTTAGAAAGAACTGGAATTCCACAGGGCACCATGAATCCCATGGAAAACAAATAGCTATCTGTCCAATAGATACTGTAGAAAACAGTTAGATGATCAAAGTAGTAAGTATTCTGTTGTTGAGTTGTTTCAGTTATGTCAGACTCTTCTGGAGTTTTCTTGGCAAAGATACTGGAGTGACTTTCCATTTCCTTCTCCAGCTCATTTTACAGATGAAGAACTGAGGCAAACAGAGTTAAGTGACTTGCCCAGGGTCACACAGCTAGGAAGGGTCTGGGATCAGATTTGAATTTAAGATGAGTCTTCCTGATTCCCAGCTAAGTGTTCCACGCACTACCACCACCTAGTTGCCCAGTATGTATTCCAGTAGCTGATGTTTAATAGACTCAGGGTGGAGGCTAGCTAGCTAGCTAGCTAGTTTCACAAGACCTGGACAAATGACTGAGCATAGATGAAAACTAATCCTTGCGCTTAGCAGAACAGATTACAAAGAAAATGGGGACTTTTTCAGATGTTCAAGAACTCTTATTTTTCCCCCTTTTGCAAATTAGCTAACTTCAATATGGAGCAAAGAATCACAATCAAAATAAAAGCACCTTCCAAAAAGTCTGGGACCCATGCATGGTATTTAAGTTGCAAACTCCTACAGGGAGGGAACCAGGCTAATCTGAACCGATTTTGCATGATTCCCTGCCTTATAAATTCCAGTTCCGAGTATCCTGGAAGGAAACCTATGTGGCAATTCCTCCACCAATGCAGATCTTAGCCCATCCACGACTTAATAGATAAATCCTAGGAAGTTGCCTGAGCCACACACAGATTAAGTGACTTAACCATGGCTGATAATTCTCTTCTAATCATGGGAAACTACATAATGTTGACCTGGCTCTGAGATGGAGTAGAAGTGTTTATTTCTCTTTGTCTTAAAGCATAGCCTTAGTCCCAGGGGATCAAGGTAAGCTATAGGCAAATCTGAGTGCTTCAGCCTTGTGTTCTCCCTATGTGTCAATTTCTCCACCAATACAGGTCCCAGCTCATCTATGACTTAATAGAGAAACTAGGAAGTTGCCTGAGCCATATAGAGGTTAAATGACCTGATCATAGCTATATAAATGTTATATCATTGTTGTTACTGTTATGATTATTATTACCATGGCCTCACAATTAGTGAACATCAGAGGTAGGATTTGAACCCAAGCTTTCCTAAAAGCAAGTTCAGCACTCTACTATTGCTATGCTACCTCTACAGCAAAAAGATTATAGAAACTTCACCTCCCTTTAAGATTTTGCCTTCTCCCCTTTTCTGGCCCTTAACATGGGTAATAATTATTTTTATATAATGAGTCAGAAACTAGCCAATTATGTGTAAGACAGTCAGACAGTTATCAGTTATATTGATTTCTCAAATCAATTTCTGAATTTTATTTGCCTTGAAACATGTTAATTTTACTCTTTAGGGCATACACATCAGTGCTTTTGATCTCAGCAAACTATGAAATGCATTTAAATCTCTTAATGATTTCATTACAATTTTCTAGGAAAAGTAATATAAAATAAGACTGCCATTTTTTTTAAATTAAACATACTGCCTGTATATGAAATTAGGTGCTGACTTTCAATTTTGAGGGAAACAAAATCCATGTAGCAAAACTAGCAAGATAGAATTAATGTCAATTTCAATTATGCAAGTGTCAAGGGAGATAAATGACCCTGCTACATGTTGCCCTCCTCAGACCACATCTAAAGCATTATGCTGAGTTCCAGGTACAAGAAAGAGCATCTAGAGAAAGGCAGTATGGGTAATGAAGAAGCTTAAGTCCATGTCAGATAAAGAGCCATTGAAAGAACTAGGAACATTTTGGCCTAGAGCAGAAAAGATGAGAAAGGGAGGGTGCCAATGAGGAAAGGGGGAAAGAGGAAGGGAGAGAGAGATGATAGGTATCCTCAACTATTTGAAGGTCAGTCATTGGGAAGAAGAATTAGGTTTGCTTTATTTCTAGCCCCAGAGGTCAAAGTTAAGAGGGATGGATGGAAGAGACAAAGAGGTATATTTAAGTTTTGTAGCAGGAAAAACTTCCAAACAGAATTATTCAGGAGTAGAATGACTTGCCCATTGGGAAGGAGTAGGTTTTCTGTCATTGGAAGTCTTCAAGAAAACAAGGAACGTGTGCTTGTTGGGAACATTGGCTGTGCCCAGGCACTTATGGACTAACTCAATAGACTTTCCTTTGGACTGCATGTCATATCTTGAACAATATGATTTCTTCATCCACTTAGCTTTTCCTGTGTGAACCACTAGGCCAGTCTCTTGATTGACTATTGCTCTCACAGAGGAGGCCTTAAAGTATTTCATTGTGGATGAGATAATCACCAAGGTTCCTTCAAGCCCTAAATCTGTTACCCTATAATGCACACAAAAAAATAGTATCTGGAAAACCTCCTGTGCCATCCAATCCAATCCAATAGTCACTAAGTTCCTACTATGTGTAAGATACTGTGCTATGCACTGAGAATATGTGAAACAATGAAAGCCAGTCCCTGTCCCCAAGAATTTTGCATTCTACTGGATGGACACAGCAGTAAAGAAATGAGGAAAATCTGAAGTCAGAGAGAGCTCTAACAACTTGTAGAATAAGTAAAGACTTACTAACAGAGGCTCCTAATCTGGGGTCTGTGAATTTTTTTTTTATGTTGGTAATTTTCCATATAATTTGCTTCTTTTTACAATCCCATATATGTTATTCATTAAAAAAATTATTCTGAGAAAGGACCCATAGACTTCATTAGCCCGCTAAAGGGATCCATGACACCAAAAATGATAAGAATTCCTACAGAGGAGGTGGAATAAGAGCTGAACCTTGAATGAAAGTAAGGGGCAGTAATGGGGTAGTCCCACATCCCAGGTATGTACAAGAGTCCGTGTACACTCACAATGGTAGGAGAGAAAGAAATGAATTGGCAAGTTGGGAAGAGCAATCACTTTTACAATTGTACCCAATTCTTTAAGATTGGGGCCACCTTTGGTGAGCAGGCATCTAACTGTTTTGTGCCAATACTCAGCATCATTGAGCAAAGTTATTTCCAAGGTTGCATCTCTTGTAGACTCTCAAATGATCTTATCAAGGATATGAATTATGCTTTTGGAGGAAAAGCAATATTTTGCTCTACCAAATGTTGTTACTTTTAATAATAAGCAAACCCTAGCAGTAGCAGTATCTTATATTCTCTACACCAGCGGTTCTTTATCCTGTTCTGTAATGGACTCCTTTAGTAGTCTAGTGAAGCCTATGGATCCTCTCTCAGAATGCTATATTAGACCCATTAAACAAAATACATAGCACTACAAAGTGAATCAACTATATTGAAATACTGTTATGATTTTTTTAAGGTCAAGGACCTTAGAATAAAAACCTGTGCTCTCCATCTTTTAGATGACTATAAGATTATGAAAATGTGGTCTGCTGTAGCTTAGCTACAACACAGATTATGTGAGGTGCAGTAGTATGACAAAAGGGTGGGCAGGTAGGTTGGAGCTGGGTTGTAGAGGGCCTTGAATATCATGATCAGTAACTAGTGAATTTTCTTAGAGTTGGAAGTGGCTTCATAGTAGTTTAGTACAACCCATATCTGAAAAATAATTCCCTCTGTAGCATAATTGGCATGTGGTCATCTAGTCTGTGCTTTAAGATTTCCACTAGAAAAATCCATGACTTCCCAAGGCATACCATTCTACTTTGGAATAATTCTAACTGTTAGGAAGTTTGTCCTTATATCAAACCTAAATTTGCCTCTTTGAATTCCTATCCACTGCTCTAGCTCTTCTCTCCGAACAGAACAAATTTAAATCCATCTTCCACAGGGCAGCTCTTTGAAATAAATAAAGACAGCTATCATGTTCCCAGTAAGCATTCTCTAGGCTAAGCTCCCCATATCATTCAATGAATCCCCATATGGCACAAACTTGAGCATCCTCACCATCCTGGTTGGTACCAGACATTTTCCAGTAACTGTTGTCTTTCCTAAAACTAATGATGTCCAGAACTGAACTTAACATTCTCGATATGATCTGACTAGGGCTGGGGAATTTTTCTGCTTTATTTGGTATGCACTGAGGAACCACTTTAGGTTTTAATATGGAGGAGCTGCATCATTATTGTCTTATATTAAGAAGATGACTTGGCAAACACATGGATAATGTCTTGGGAAAGGAGTTAGCTGAAGATAGGGAAACAGGAGACTCTCACATAATGATTGAATATATATGTATATATGCATGTATATTATATATGGGCTATTCTCCTCTCCTTTGTCTTCCCTCCTCTCATTCCCTCTAGATTTTAAATTCTAAGAGATCAGGACCAAGTCTGAATAACATTTGTATCTCATCTGTCAAAATGCTTTACATATAGTAAATACTTAAGAAACAGGAGGAAGAATGAATGGATAAAATATGGCCTAGATTGGCTTTTGAAGGTTCACTAAGATTTTGTAAGTCTAGGAGAAGAATAAAATAGAGAAAACAACATAAATCGAGGCATAATGGGAATGGTCATGGAATGGTTTGCCAGAGAGGAATGCTGGTGGACAGTTATGTAATTGGCCCGACAATAGCCATCATTGTGGGAGTGGAAGCAGGTTTTCATTACTTCTCACTTTAAAATAAAAAGCTTTGTAAATTGATACTTGACCAGTCTGAGAACAACCCACCATTTCTAGTGGATAAGTGATAAAAAATGATTTTTTTTATTAGCACCTGCTGTGCCTATTGGACAGGGTGAGATAGCCCAAGTGATAATACCAATTACTCTTTGTAAGGAGATAGGTTGGCTTTTAGTGCTTATTTGCAATGCTCAATTAAAGATTCTTCTGGGCTCTAGCCATGTCCTGTTTCTCCATTGGCAGGCTATCCACTATATGGAATTGATTCCAAAAGAAATGCAGCCAGTCACAGGGACTGAAGGAGCCTTTCTCCGCCGGCGACAACTGATGAGGCAGCTGCCAATTTACGATCAGGACCCTTCTCGATGTCGCAGCATTTTGGAAAATGAAGTGAAATTGATGGAAGATTTTGTCAAGAAATACAAAAGTGATGCCCTTGGAGTGGGAGAGGTAGCCCTCCCAGGACAAGGTGGCCTACCCAAAGATGAGGGAAAGCAACAGGAAAAGTCCGAAGGGGCAGGAAGCACACCACCCACCACAAATGGAAGTGTTGGTGACTCAACAAAGGAAGTGGAATATGTAAGTATTTTGCCTATTGTGGGTTTCATTTGGGGTTCCTAAGTTTCCTTCTCTCTCAGCTTAAGAGCCTGTCTGGGCTAGATTCAACTTAACTCAACAAACATTTAATTAAGAATCTGCCTTGTGCCCAGCAAAGTGCTAAGCATTGGTGATGCAAAGACAAAATGAAAGTCTTTGTCCTCAAAGAGCTTATATTCTACTGGGATGTACATGGATAAGTAAATTTAAAATATATTCAAATGAAATACAAAGTAATTTGACAGGGTAGCATTAACATTTGGGGAAATCAGGGAAGGCCTCTTGAAGGATGTGGTAGTTGAGAGAGTCTTGAAGAAAACCAGGGCTTCTAAGAGAAGAGGTGAAAAGAGAGAACATTCTAGGCATAGGCTATAGCTAGAGCAAAGACAAAGAGGTCAGAAATGGATGGTTCCTTCCAATTCTGTCATCCTATAAAGTAGCTGAGGTTGACTATTGCATTGATGTGATATTGTTATCTTGAATTTCTCCAAGGGCTTTAAGGATAATATTGTCTATCAACAACTGTTTTAAGGACACATAGCAACTATTTTAAGGAACCATTAGCAGCTATAAGTTGGACCACAAAACAGGTTTTCCTGTAAACAAAAGTGATAACAGGCAGCAAAAGCATTTGGCCTTTAGGGCTAGCCCATAGGCTCCCAAAGTGGGAGATACCCCCCCAGGGGGGTTGGAACAATCCAGGGGGGCTGTAGCAGCCTCAGGTGCAATTTGGGGGTGTTGAATAAAAATAAAGTGGAGGTAGAAGCATAAGGCGAGAAGAGAAGAGAAGGAAATTTGGAAAAATCATTTGTACATGTTTCATCTGTTGTGTAACAGAGTTAAAACCAGAGTGATTACATTATTTTCCAAATAAACACACAAAATGCAAGTTATAACCAATCAATGGTCAAGTCCACCAACAGGTCTTAACAAGCAAATGTTGACAGGTGAGCATGTTATACATTGTTGGGAAGTCCACATGCATGGGCAGGAATATGTGTGTGTAATGACTTGTTTACAATATAATACTATATAGTTACATGATGCAATATTGCGTCATCAAAATTTCAATGCAGGAAAAAACCCACAAATACACAATAAATTATTAAATCTAAGATGTCATTTTAAAAAAATTTATATTTTTTTTGAAATGATACAAATTTTAAAAAGTTAAAGAGTAAAAGAATGTAAATTTCCAGGGGGGTAATTTTTTTTTAAAGGAAGCAGTAAGCCAAATAAGTTTGGGAACCTCTGGGCTAGTCCAATATTTTGCCTAACATTCATCTTTCTCTACCTATATATTCTTTTTCTTCAGCAATCATAAGCTATAGACTATTTCTCTTTTTTCATCAGAAATTATTTGCTTTGTACTTGCTTTGTATTTGCTTTGTAGTTCTTATAAAGTGTTTTATATGACTTATTTTAATCGAGCCTCACAACAACCCAATGAAATATGTTGTGCTGTATTTGGTCCATTCCTGTGATTCCATTTGTGGAGGGAATTCCCATTGAGGAAACTGTTTTGTACCTCATAGTGACAGAAATTATTATTTTACTATTATATTAATAGCCAATTATTAAATTGGGATCCAGGCTTTACTACTCAATTTCCTCATTAAGGTTCAGCTCTTGGTAAAGTGAGTCTCTGAAGGACATGGAGGAAATTACCTCTAGCCCTCAAGGAATGTGCTCTTCAATCTTTGGCAGGACCCCTCCCAACTAGTAGACCTAATTTCTGTTTAAACAGAATCCAGTCTGGGCAAGTTCTTACCCTAAGGAAAGGAGCCTCCATTAGAAGTTAGGGTGACCCAGTTCATGAAGGAGAAAACCAACCAGATAGGACTGGATGAAAATGGATTCCCCTGTCCAGGTTGCTGGAGGTTGCTGAGTTTCAAGATCAATCCACATTCTTAGCAGGAGGAGCTGAAGATTATCACTTGTCAGGGACATTCCCTTTTATAAAGGTACTTAAAGCCTCCAGGGTCTCCTTTGGGCATCTTTGGTTACCTAGAGAAACCACTGACCATCCGTTTATTGATTGCCAACTAGCCCAATTAATAAATTGACAATTAATAACCAGAAACTCTGTGGCCTGGAGGCTCTCTTTTCATTCATTTCCATAGCCTTAACGACTTGTCTATGTGCTGGGAAGATCAAGTGACTTGCTTAAGGCTCCCCAGCTAGCATATGTCAGAGGTGGTACTTGAACCCAGCCCTTTCTGACATGGAAGAAGCTCTCTATCACTAGTTCGTGCTTTCCCTCTCATGAATTGTCATCCCCATTCTTTTAGGAAACAAAAACTGAGAAGTTGTATTATTGATAGGGTTATAAGGTAGAGAGCCAGAAGAAGTCTCAGGAATCATACTTTGTTGTTGTTTAGTCGTTTCAGTCACGTCTTGACTCTTTATGACCCCATTTTGGGTTTTCTTGACAAAGATACTGGTGTGGTTATCTTTTCCTTCTCCAGCTCATTTTACAGATGAGGAAACTTGGGCAAACAGGGTGAAGTGACTTGCCCAGGGTCACACAGCTGGTAAGTGTCTGAGGCCGGATTTGAGCCCAAGAAAATGCATCTGAGGCCCAGCACTCTATCCACTGAGCCACCTAGCTGCCCACAGTCAAATTCAAATAGAAGCTGTACATAAGATTCCCTGTGGGCAGCATATTGACTTAGAAAACTACATATTAATGTTATCTATGTTCTAATGTATTTTTTTATTTCTTTTGTTAAATATTTCCCAATTACATTTTAATCTGGTTTGGATAGCACTAGGGAGTGTCGTATGGCCTGCAGGCCAACTGTTTGACCTCTCTGATCCAATCCATTGCCTAGTATATAAGAGGCATTTAATAAAAGCTGATTGGTTGGTAGCCCAAACATCTCACTTAACAGATGAAGCAACTGAAGTCCACTTTCCGAAGACTATCTCAAGGTCACACATTTAGTAAGCAGCAGAGCTGAGATTTGAGGTGCTGTAGTCCTATGACTAAATTCAGCCATCTTACCCCAGCGCCATTTCTGTTTTAAGTCATGCTAAAATGTTCATGAGATTTCAAGCTAGGCGGGATCTTAGAGGCTATCAAGGCCAACCCCTACATTTTACAGATAAGGAAACCGAGGCCTAGAGAAATAAAGTAACTTTTTCATGGTCACACAGTGAGTGTCAGAGGTAGAATTGAAAAGTCTTCTGATGGGGCAGCTAGGTGGCACAGTGGATAGAGCACCAGCCCTGAAGTCAGGAGGACCTGAGTTCAAATCCGGCCTCAGACCAACACTTGACACTTAATAGCTGTGTGACCCTGGGCAAGTCACTTAACCCCAATTGCCTAAAAACTAAAAAAAAAAAAAAAGTCTTCTGATCTTGAAGCTCAGCATTCATCCATTACCCCACATCATTCCTAGAGTCAGAGCTGAGACTCCAAATCAGTATTTGTGACTCTAAGCCCAGTGCCCTTTCCATGATACTGTACTGGTGGGGGAAGGGGAGAAGGGGTAGATGAAGGAGAGATGAGAAGAAGGGGAAGAGAAAGGGATAAGCATTGTATAATTCTTATAATGTGTCAAGCACTGTGCTAAACACTTTACAAATTTTATCTCATTTGATCCTTACAACAACCCATGAGTTATGTTTTGCAATGATCTCCCATTTCACAGTAGAGGGAACTAAAGCAAACAGAGGTTAAGTGATTTACCCAAGGTCACTTGGCTAGTAAGTGTCAGAAACTGGATTTGAGCTCAGGTCTTCCTGACTCCAGGCCCAGGGCTCTATCCACTGCATGACCCATCTACCTCTCCTTGTGGCTCCTAGTTTAGCTTTCCTTATAATGTAGCATGGCGTATTCCTCAATAGCATTCCCTAGACTGTCCCAGGTATTCTCCACTTCCCCAAATTTGCTTGGAAATCTACATTTGTATGAAGATTAGGAAGGCTGCCTGTAATAGAAGAAACACTGAACTGGACATTAGTCACCCAGGAAACTTAGATTTCAATCCCAACTCTGCTACTCCACTTGCTATGGCTATAGCCAAGCCCTCGTACTTTTTGTAAAATGAGAATAACAATATTTGCATTTCACAACCTCAGAGTTGTTGAGAAAACAATGCTTTCTAGATTGTCCAGGGTCATATACATGTGAGCTCTTAGCATTAGGATGAAAGTTTCCATTAGGATGCACCAGCATGGACCTTTTCTCATGTGTTTGTACCCAAATGCACATCTTCGGGGACTTGGGGAGCATTGACCCAAATCATCCTTGCACAGGAGTTTCCTGAGTGGGTGATCCCTTCTTAGACAAACTAACATCTTGGTCATGTTCTAAGTAGGTCTTTCAGCCAACAATCAACCTTCTCTAACATTGTTTCCTCTGAGAACTTAAGACAAAAGATAAAACTGAAGAACTTTAGCTTTTTTTTCCTTTAACTCTTAATAGGTAATGACTTTATAGTTGTGTTTAAGAAAAAACGGCAGCCCAGTGGACCAGGGAGAAAGAAAGACCCAATTGTGTTGCTCTGTTTCATAATCCAATTGTTTTCCACCAGCTGACTGACTGCCCTTAAAGCTGCAACGAATAGGACAGAATGCCAAAGCAATAATCAAGTTTTCCAATGCTCTGCAAAATCCCTGGAGAAAACTACAGAATAGACGGAGGCTAGAAAGGACCTTTGAAGTCATAATCCAGCCCTTTCATTTTACATTTGGAGAAACTGAGACTCAGAAAGGCTGTGACTTACCCAAAGCTCAATTGCCAATAATTGGAAAAACTGATATTTGAATACACATTCTTAGAGTCGAAATCCTGGACCCTTTTTATCATACAATGGTGCCATGAATCTCTCGCTATTCGTTTTGCCAGCAAACAAGAAGCACTGACCTGACAATGCTTTTTGTTTTGCTTTGTTTGTTTGTTCACTTGTTTGTTTGTTTTCCCCTAGAGCAGCGCTCCTTTTCCTTTTTTATGTCATGGATACCTGTGTAGTCTG